TGCCACAAGCAGCAGTTGATCCTTTGCTGCTAGCAGACAAATGGCCGCCGCTGTTGCGTTACGTACCGCGTAGCGTGGCTGGCCACAGGATATATCTAGAAGACATTATCACAACTAGATACTGCGAGACCATATTACTGGTCCTCAACACCGATTGTTGAACGGTCAGTCAATAATACCCCTCTCAGTTTCATCCTCAGCTTTGGCGCCTCCCTGACCCTGGGCGCGACGAGGCTCCGACAGGTGGCGTGACAACGGACCAGTCTGCCAAGGTCCATTTGCTGGAGCGGCCTCATACAACGAAAAGAAGCTGTGCTGGCAGCAGTCTAACAATAAAGATGTTTTTTATATATTTTTGGTTGTTTTCTGTTAAGCCCAAACGGGGAAGCAGTGTTATTGGCGGCACACACGCATGAAATAGTCCGCGGTGTTACGCATGCTGTTTCATGGGGCGTTTAACAAAATTTGTGTGTCTTCCTTTCAGTCACCATTTGAGGCTGTGCTTATAACAAGAACTTTTTAATTAGGCTCCATTGACCAAGACCATCTGTTCTCCTTCTGGCAAAAAAAGTACATCATCAATTTCATATCCCATCACTCATCGTAATGTGCCGTTAACAGTGGGATGTGATGAGTGGTTGGCCATCGTGCATCATGAAATTAGACGGTTTTAAAACTGTCTCGACCGACGCGAGGGCTGATTTTGTGCAACGCTGTCTCAAAATATTTTCGACCGTTTTTGTTTGCACGCACAGTTGCCATCAACTACCACTGCAAACGGCTTCGACAGCTGTCCGTGACCTTCCCCGGGTGACTGAGAAAACGACCCGCGAAGGCCGGCGCGTCACCACCGATGTGTGGACCGTCAGTCGGCATCCACGGGTGCCGCTGCCCCAAGCCGCTGTGTATGACGGTCAGACGACACCTGTATCATGGTTAGCCGATGCCTCAAGGGTGCCGCATTCTCATGTCACTGTATGTGACGGTCAGCCGGCGCTCCGCTGTGTGTGACGGTCAGCTGGCACTCCGCGGAGTGCCGCTAACCCAAGCCGCTGTGTGTGACGGTCAGCTGGCACTCCGCGGGGTGCCGCTTCCCCAAGCCGCTGTAGTGTGACGGCCAGCTGGCACTCCGCGGGGTGCCGCTTCCCAAGCCGCTGTATGTGACGGTCAGCTGGCACTACGCGGGGTGCCGCTTCCCCAAGGCGCTGAGTGTGACGGTCAGCTGGCACTACGCGGGGTGCCGCTTCCCCAAGGCGCTGGGTGTGACGGTCAGCTGGCGTTCCGCTATGTGTGACGGTCAGCTGGCACTCCGCGGGGTGCCGCTAACCCAAGCCGCTGTATGTGACGGTCAGCTGGCACTCCGCGAGGTGCCGCTAACCCAAGCCGCTGGGTGTGACGGTCAGCTAACATTCCGCGGGGTGCCGCTAACACCAGGCCGCTGTATGTGACGGTCACCTGCACTCCGCGAGGTGCCGCTAACCCAAGCCTGGGGGTGTGACGGCAGCTGGCACTCCGCGGGGTGCGGCTATCCCAAGCCGCTGGGTGTGACGGTCCGCCGGCGCTCGGCAAGGTGCCGCTGTCTCAAGCCGCCAAGGCCAGTGGGCCCCAAGTCGACAGGTCACGGGCACGATTGCCCCCCCCCCCCTCCCCCCGCTCCGAGAGCGAGGGATGGGCTTCTGTCACCAGGGGCACCACTAGCCGGCCACGCACCGCCTCCGCAGCCATTCACTTCTCCTATGACTAATGCATCCTGGACGAATAGGGAGGTTGGAATTAGGAGTCTGCACTGAACCACTTGATGCCCTGAAAGCACGGTAAGAAGCCGTGCGGTGGTTCCGGACATGAATAATTCACGTAACACTGATGGCCTTACATCGATCACATGCCCTCCAAGGTCATATTCAAAGGGATTATAGATTGCGCTTGATCGGAGAGAGAGAGAGAGAGAGAGAGAGGAGAGGAGAGAGAGAGAGAGAACTTGTTTTTTTGAAAACTGACCTTCTACCCGATAAATTGCGTGAAGTAATGCTCCTGCCGACGCCGTACGCCATGCGATCGATCGTTTCCGGCAGCGTGGATACGCGCTCCGAGGGAGGACGGCGGTCGGATAGGGCTGCCGCGGCGCCAGGGAGGGCGGCCGGCTGGCTCGGGAACCGGCCGCCCTGCCTGAGGCAGCAGATGGGTGCCTCAAGGTCGAAGCTGGCCAGCCATGTCCAGCGACCCTCGGACACGGCGGTGCTGCTGGCAGCCCGCCACGAAAGGTCACCGCAAGGTGGCAGGCGCATGCCGTGGCTACGTGGCTTTAGCATTGTGAGATCGGCGCCCTTTGCTGATAGCTATCGGTCTTCAATATCCCACAAGGCGCTGGTTAAAAAACGTCATCAAATGCACATTAGTGATATTGTTCATTCCGAACGTTTCGAAGGTGTACTCATGGTCAAGAGCATACGAAACATGGGTCGTAATTACACGGCTTCGAAACATCGAACATTATACCTAATGTCGTCGTTTAACTAGTACCGCCTAGTATGTGAAGATCGATTACTTTCAACATAATACCGTTGATCTTCTAATGCCGAAAAACCAGGAATTTATCGCGTTTCTTGCTGAAATCAATCACGTAGCTTTGTATGGTACTCATACCGGCCGCATGCACTCCTCGGGCGTTTGGTCGAGGCCAGACTCCCTTCACCGGTAATTTGAACCCCAGGTTGTGCATTGACTAAGGCAGTGCTCTTTGTGACTTGTGAGTTTTTCGGTGCCGTTTTTGCACAGGCGAAAGCATGTAAGCGGGTGGGTCTGAGAGGGGTGGGGGGGGGGGAGGGGAGAGGCGGACGAGTTCGGGCTCTTCGGTCTGTCGGTCGGTAATAGCAATTGCTCTTTATTGTCAAAATGACATGCGGTTTCGACGGGGTAGACGCCGACCAGCAACCAAGCTCAAAATGTGGGCTTTTGCTATGGCTGGGCCTAAGTATTTTATCACAATTTGGTCACAGCATTATATATATATATATATATATATATATATATATATACACCTGTGCGTGCGCGTGTGCGCTTATGCAGGTGTGCCTCATTGCAAGTTCATCGATTTCGTCGATCAAAAGTGTCAAAGCGGGTATGGCTACTCGATCGGTTCAAATGAGTTGAGTTGAATTACGCGAAACATTTCGATGCATTGCATGCCCGTATGTGGACACAGGTATTGGGTAATAAAACCAAATATGTGGTCCGAGAACACTGCTTCGGATGACGCCAGTTTTGGCCCGTCTGTACTAACTTTACTTTGGCAAACGCCGTCTTTAAAAATACGATTTTATGGACTTAGTTAAAGCTTAAAGCTTAAAGATGGGCTTAAAATTGCAGCCTCGAGCACCGAGTTCAAATCAGTATCTTCAAAATCGGCTATTATAAACCATGACCTTACCAAATTGGCCTGGTCGCAAGAATCCCAAAAAGGCAAGTATCTCGTTGCATACATCCATCTTTAACATTTGCTTTACCTTACTTTTATGACATCAAAAGTCTTTTTCGCCGAGACTTATTTCGCCGCCTTGCATGCCAGCCAACATTTTTGAGATGCTTCCAGTCAGGCCTGAGCTGGACTCAAATTTTTAGAATCGCTTTACCAGTGACCGAATGATTCTGATCTGAGTCAAATGATAATGCTGTCTTCGGTGAATGGACTCTTTGCTGGTTCACATTCCAGTGCAATGATTCAGTGTTAATTCAAATTATCATCTCACATCGTCTAAATCGGCTCAGCATCGATTAACCACACATTTAACATTTGTACGCTGTGTTTTAATTAATAAATCATTTCGCCACGGCCAATGTCTACTGATTATGTGCTGCACTGATAACACTGATGGTGTAATGATAACAAAAAATATATCTCAACTCCATTCAGTTGGCCTTAGCAATACCCTTCCTTGATGCAGATCAACTCTTTTAATGGGCTCCAACGATTCGATTCATGATTTGTTATCATGTATACCAAATGGAATGCATGTTTTTCATCAAAGCATGATGTAATTCATGAATGAATTAATCGATTCGTCTTGAATCGAACACTAGTCTGCTTCCAGCATGTGTGTACATACTTGTCGGCCGTTTCTGTTGGCATGGTGACGTGTATGGGAAGATCCATAATGCAGTACCGCCTGTCGAGACATTACCGCCAGCATTCCGTACGTGTAGAAAACGTTACGTTTTCAGTTGCCCCCCACTTGCTGGCAAGGCATTGGTGCGCCGCCACCTATCGGAGTCCTTGGGCATTACCAACTCGGTAAGCATGTCCGACGGAGTGCAGACCCGAGGATTCGTGCCGCGTATGTAGCCACATAGTACATACGCCATAAACGGTTGGTCACACCTGAAGCCTCCGACGTTCGCTGGCAATCTGGAAGGTTGAACATAAATGAACCAGACCAAGAGTGGTTTCCTTTGGATTGCCGACTTGGCTGAATTGCACTGCCAACTTCTGCTATGCCAGCCAGTTAAACCGCTTTATGACATGGTAATGCCTAAATTTTGACAAATGCTCAGATCGTAATGCGTGCGAAACACAATTTTGCACACCTTGCGTGGTCTTACCGGCGAATGATTTAATCAAATTGTGAATAAGGAATGCTCTGAGCCCCAAGGTTTTTGCATCATGAACTTCTTTTGTCGATAAGCGACGTTAAAAGGGCAATATCTGTCTTCAATAGTTTTCAGTTATGGTTATGAGCACAATTTGAAACATCGAGTAGTGCAAAGGCAACCATGTCTGCTTGATAAGGTTGTCTAACCAGTGCTTTCTGGCATGATGGAGGTCGATTATTGTCAGTATTATATTTCCAAGCCCATAACCTAGCCACGGCAGATTCAGGCTAGGTTATATCATGACTTTTCTGACGCTGTAGATAAAATCCCATTCAAGCCAAAGCTCGCTAAAGTGTTATTCCAACTCACAATCGTCAGCGATGGTAACAACTTACAATTATCACACAACATCAAACAGTTCTTTAAAGCAACAGGATAATTTTTGTAGACAGATGAATGTGACTTGCAAATCGGATCAGAATATGTGTTCTCAACCGCACTAATGTTTTACCTTATTTCTAAAGCTAGTGTATTACCGCTACCCGTGTTTGCACAGTGCATTCCGAACACACTTGTTTTGAATGCGTCTGCTAGAATTTATTGATAACTGGTTTGTCATTCCTTTAAACGTAGGACATAAATGATAATATTAGCGTCTCTTTCCCGTCGAGAAACATATGGTGGACGGCCACCAAGGTCCGGTATTACGAATTCTTCAGTGAGGAAATTTGCATAAACCTATCCAACTCGATTTTTGCTTTCAGTTCGAACTCATCTGCTAACGCAAGACCCTTTAGCAGACCTTGAGATATAAAAGACTACTAAATGGCGATGGTGTTCCCCAATGTCCGATTCTCATGAATTCGATATGACTGCCAGACCACCACCACTCAGGACTACCAACGCCAATAAGAGGTCGGCGACTGGCTGTCCCAATCAGGTCACGCGGCGGCTCAAAGTGTCCTGGCTGAACCAACACGGTTGGAAATATTGTCATGTGGTGATACGTTACCCGATCTGTAAGCGTTTTCTTAGACGTTTCCCCATTCACGGGCAACACAAAATTTGCCGTTTTACTCAGACGATATCGCCAGGGGGTTACGAAGGGAATAATATTATTTTTGGGTCGGTGGGAAATGTGCTCCTCTGCTTCTGGGAAGTGCGCAAACTGCGCTCATGGAAGTGCTAGGTCAAAGTAGTTTCTTCGAAACCAACTTCTTCGTGAAAACATTTGTTGTTAACAACTGTCCTGTTCTCACCAACTGCCAAGCAACGCACATTGACTACCGCCGATCGGTTCGTGTATTTGGTCCAATTTAAAAAGCACTAAAAATTTGCAGCTGTGATTAATCTTGCCTCCGGAAATATGCACAGGATGGCGCTGCTGCAGTAGGCGACCGCCGGCTACTCCGCATCGATAATCTCCGGGTTCCCCCGGACGAATCGCGGCGGTCCTTGAGCTTCGGGGGCGATCCGTAGGTCATCAGGAATGTCCTCCACCGTGTATGGTACCTGCTTGTACCGCTCGCCGTCGTACGTGTACCTGGGCACAGAACATACACCCGTGTCAAACAATTGCCGCTAAGACGAGATGTTCAGGCAGTAGCATCACATAAATCGTCAAATATGATCTTTACCAGTTTTCGGGTCAAGTTTAATTGCCTGGATTAGCAGGCTGCATCAAGGTATTATATAGCGACGCATCGATTCGCTCCAATCATGACACATCACTGAAATTGTTTTGAACGGATGCCCACCTTTGATGTACCTGTCCTAGAAGCCAGCCTGAATATCAATGCATCACTGTATCACTCCGGCGCTTGGCAATAGCCAACATCGTCCCTCCTCATAAACAAAACCCTGGTCATGCGCTTGACAGCTTCTGATGCAGCTGCTCAGCCCCTCCGTCCCTACTATGACGCCAGCTTCCTGCAAGAGATTTGACCTTCTTCCCAGCCGTACTTTCTTCACGCCGTAACATCTAAGCAAACGTCTGTCTTGAACAACGGATGCCGACATGCGACAGTGACAATTCGTTTTGGAAGGATCGAAGGCGATGACGCTATAGTGATGTTGGCCGAAGCAAACGGTCCAATGTGACTATTTCCCGTTCCCTGCGTGCGCTCGGATTGATGATGTACTTTTTGAAATTGAGAAAATTGTTGATATATCTAAAAAGGCCCAAACCCTTTAACGTCTTATGTGAAGTGACACAAAAAAGTGATCCAGTTCTGAATCAGTTTAGTTCTGTGTTTTGGAGCAGGTCAAGTAATGCATAGCACGGTTACCTCTCGAGACAAAATTTACCACACCATTATCAACTCTGCGTTCTCGAAGGCAACAACATCTCACCGCACGCCAGAAAGCTCCGCACACAGAAGCACTGGAGATGGAGTACGTGTCACAGATGTGAAATGCACGCAATACCATGCAAAACACCAAGTGCGTTTTGCGGCACAACACTGTGCCACATCCAGGAGTGAAAGTTAGCGCTAGCGTACGTACATGAAGGCTGTGATGGACCCGTCTTCGTTCTTGTATCCATAAATGCCCCGAAGATGGCCGTTTCCGAGTCGCTCCTCCACCCGGAACTGATTGTCGTCGTCAAAGCCGAACCTGCAGCATCCAAAGAGTCATTGCTGGCCCGGCCGGCTCTGAGACGCCGACACCAAAATATAGAAAAAAAGCGACACAACTTACTCCCGGATAGATTTACCAGTGCCGAGCACTGTTGTATTTGCCAGTGCCGAACACCGTCGTATTTACCAGTGCTGAACACCGTCGTATTTACCAGTGCCGAACACTGTCCTATTTACCAGTGCGGAACACTGTCGTATTGCACATCCTGATGACTTTTCGCTATCTGGTGTGCTGAGCCAGCTGTTAGAAAACATCAGTTGTGACCGAGCCATAGATTAAGGCATTTCGACAGCCGACAGTATATGGTCATCTTTGCTTATCTGTACTCAGGTGCATCCGGCAGTAGCTCAGAATCAAAAGGCGCAGTGGGCACTGCAGACTGCCATAAATCAAATTTCAAATACCAATACCCAAAGATTGTAGTAGGGCATGCAGGCTACCACACACTGCGGGTCGCTGGTCCTCATGCCTTCACGCTCGTGCCCTGTTGTAAACTCGGACAGAGAAGTTTTACTCCTGCAAGGATTAGATCTCGTCACCTCTAGGCCGAGAGAAGTTGGCCGAAATCCAACCACACCGGGCGCCGAGATAAATTCTGGGATATTTTCTAATTGTGATTGTTTTGCAGTTTCTGGAGGGCGTTGTCTAAATATCGTTCTACGCACGATTTCTCTCAAATATCACAGGAGAAAGGTGTCGATAACTGCCAGCCATTCTTAGAATCGGTTTCAAAGGAAGTGTTTTCAAACAGCCGTTTTACAGTCCCGTAACAATGCTGGGTCCGTTTCGCAAACGCTAGAAGTCTCTTTGGAGCTGAAGAGCTGTTTTCTGAGGACCAGGCTCATGGTCCATTATAAAAAATTATACGACCTAGTACCTTGCCGTGGTTCCTCCTCGTTAAAGCTTGGACGACAACTGTTTTGCTTCAGTTGTCGCCATCAGATGTTCGAACTGGTGACAGAAGCGTCCATCTCCACATGCTTCAGCCCATCTCAGTACTACAGATCTCTTTGTCCAAGCGTTTCAAGATGCACTTGAAGCGTATTGATCGAAGCAAGATAAGCCCGTGATCTGAAGACATCCGTAGCTGGCAGTGACTTGAGAGTTGGCAGGAGAGATTTTACTCTTGCAAAGACCGACCTCGTCGCCTTAAGCCGAGAGAAGCTGGCCGAAGTACGATTACGCCGATGATCATCGTGAGTTCTTGGAGCTTAGATCACTCCCAAGATGAACAGCCTCTGCGAAAATTGAGTTTCTGCATCGAAATGCTACACCCTACAACATGTATGAAATACAAGATCTACAGGATCAAGATATTCTTGCCCTGAGATCAGTCGCACCTGAACAGCGAATTATGGGTACCCAAGCGCTTTGTCTGGTTGCCCGCTAGTCTGCACGTCGGGGGATGGCTCTGCGCTCCACTACGGTCAAAGCTCCCGTGCGTGACCTCGCCTTCTTGCCGAACTTCCCAGTGAATTATGTTCGGGCGCTTTGTCTGTATCATCGTTACTCTGCACGTCGGCGGTGGTTTGCGCTCCACCGCGGTCAAAGCTCCCTTGCATCACCTGGCCATCTTGCAGAGCTTAATCGGGCACCGGGCCCTGAAATATCAAAGGCGAGCTCCGGGAAGTTCTTCAATCACCTCTGGCTCCCCAGCGAAGAACTCACTGGTCTGCTGTTCTTCGACGGGGCTGAGTCATGGCAAGCACGGTGTTGGACTGAGCCCATGTTTTGCGCACGTTATTTCCTGCTGAACACTATCACTCATGAGAACGTACTCTGCAAAAGCCGTCATTGGAGAACGACCTATGGCGTATACAAATATTCGGAAATTTAGACAACTTGCCAGATTCGCCAGGTAAAGACAAGGCTGCCATGGCATAGCCACATCACATACACCCACGAATTGTCAATGGTGCTGCACATTCGGAACATATCGTGTCATGGAGGAATATCACTCTTTAAGACCTGAACGGAAATAAACCACTACTTGTGCCCTTTGCGCAATTGAAACAACCTAAAGAAAAGAGGAACATTTCCGACAACTATATGTGGATGGCTTTAAACGCCAAAGTCCGCAACCTTGACCTTCCGGTTTGGCCATGCATTCAACTGAGGGCTGTTTTCACAATGATGAGTCGCTGCTCTTTCGTCCAGCCCCGTCATCGAAGAACCACGCCCAGTCACTGTTAAACCTGCCGTGCAAAGCCTTCCAGTGATCTCGTGACCAGGAAAGGCGCGTGACAATACCGTGGACCGTGAGATTGCTTAATAGAAACGGTGCATCGGCTTAATCGTACCTCCACGGGTTTTCAGCGGACTTTCGAAGACAACCGAGGCCTGTTTGTGACGGGAGACTCATGCACGCAGGCTCTGTAACGTCTCCGACGGTAATTTAAGCGAATTTGTGGGATGCATTGATCACTCACTTTTAAAAGCGATGGTATGCTGCTGTATCCCACACCGATTAGGTTTAGTCCGAGCTCTTTTGGCCAACAATGGTCATTTGAAAAGAAGAGAATTCAGTAGAGCGATAAGTGGTGGAGCAATGCTTTGTCCATCGTGCAGTCGTCTGCACCGAGCCGCATGTTCCACAGGGGCCCACGCTCGGGTTTTGTGCAGATGCTGGAGCGAGGCTGCGATCGTGGGGGCCAACACATGGTCGAGTGCCGCAGAGGACTTCCGGCGCGACGGGGCGGGGCGTGGAGATGAGCGGAGCGGAAAAGCGGGCTGGATACTTCCGCCATACTGACATGCTGAAAATTAGCGTGCCTAACGATGCCGGTAAAATGACGGTACCAAGTGATCATTAGGATTGATTATGAATGCGAGCGGCCATGGCTGAACATGGCTAATTCGTCGCTACGGGGACTGCCTTGAAACGCCGAGAATTTCCATAATATATATTTTAAGCTCATTTACGCAAACACTACTGGACAGGAGCCTTATTTGGTGTCAGGTCTGAAGCACACCGTAACTGGAAGAAAAAGGAGTGAAAACCTGTCGTTTTTCATCACATTTATTGACATAGCCGGTAAATATGGCTGCAGAGGCCTTCGTCTCGTCATCATGCACCTATTCGTCATTTTTTGCACGCGAACTGGGTCCCACGAGACCAAATCATTAAGACCAATCACCGCAAACGTGAAATGACGAATAAGCCCATGGCGACGGAATAAGGACTCTCGTGGTGAACTTGGCTGGCCATTTTAATACCCCTGAGGTTTAAGATGGGTTTCGTTGCCGCTCATCCTAGTTGTCCATTTCGGTTTTGGTACAAAGTTAAGTCCCCGTCCAGCAGGATAGCGTGAGAAGCGTCATTGATTGCAAGCTTCGTCGTTCATCCAATGCTTTATAATATGCTGAAGGCCGGCCATGCTCAGCATATATATTGCAACATCAAAAAGGACAGCAGCTCCAGGATTTTTCTGCTTCCCTCGAGCAGATAGTTTTCACAGTGTAGGGCGGCTGTGGATGTACGCAGCATCCGCGTGGAAACAATTGCAAAATAGCATGGGAATCATAGCAAAGTAATCGATACCCGGTGTGATCTCTGTCTAAATATCCATGCCTCTGTCCGATCATGATAAATCTTGTCTCACATCACGTGTCAGACAACAATAACATAACCAATGACATAGTCTGTAACAGCATCTGCGGCCTTTGTGTACACAAAACACCATTTGCCGAATACATTGAAGCAGGCCCGTGTCAACAAATCCTGCATTACCAAAAAATCCAGCGACTTTTGTACCGTTTGTTTGTTTGTTCGCTTCTTTGTTGTTTTTTCAGCTCCGCCATCCTTACGGTTTATGGCTTTTGCAGGGTTATCTTAATCGCTGACCATTTGGTATGTCGACACACAAGGAACGTACCAGTATCATGGTGAGATCGACTTCGATGCCGCTATGACGTAACAGGCCGGAGCACACACCGTGCAAAGGGCGATTTTACCGCTACTATCCGCGTGCTGCGATTATTCTGTCCGATTAGCTTTTCGTATAATGAATTCTGACCACTTGTTCCTGACGGTTTTTTAGCATTGATAGCAATTTCACATTTAATTTTAGCAGCTTTAACTTCTAGTTTGATGAGCCACAGTTCGAGGAAGTTTTCCTCCGACCCGTTATCTAAAAGTTCTTCAGCATGTTGTAAGATAAATATCTAATAATGCCCACGATTTTTGTTTAGTAATATCTGATGGGCTGCATGCTTAGTTCAGCAAACATTGAAATGTCTCAAATAATCCAGTGCGACGTTCGGCGTCCGCATATCCGTCCAAATTCATATACCGCTGAATTCAAACACTTCCAGCGCAAACGTCCAGTCGTCAGCGGTACTAATCATCTTTAAAAACGCTGCTTGCAAGAACCTACAACTAGTAAAGCAAGATCACCCGCCGACCCACTTGTATTTGCCGTTCTTGGGATAGAGCTTCTGGTACTGGTGATTGGACGTGACGTGCGTGACCTTCTCGACGCGAGGCGGCCGGATGATGACGCTGCCCAGCTGAGCCTCGTCGAACTCCGCCTCCAGCGGGACGGCTTCGACCACGTCCTCCTGCGGCAGCGGGGAGGCCAGCGCCGAGGCCAGCAGCGCCGCACACAGGATCACATGCTGTCAGAGCAGGGAGGCAGTGTAAGCCACTGTCATCATCACATGCTGTCGTATTCAGAACAGGAGAGGGAGGATCAGCCACTGCCGCCATCACACACTGCCAGAACAGGAGAGGCAGGGTCAGCCATTGTCATCATCACACACTGGCAGAACAGGAGAAAGAGGGCCAGCCACTGTCATCATCACACACTGACAGAACGGGAGAGGGAGGGTCAGCCACTGTCATTATCACACACTGGCAGACCAGGAGAAAGAGGGCCAGCCACAGTCATCGGTCACACACTGGCAGAACGGGAGAGGGAGGGTCAGCCACTGTCATTATCACACACTGGCAGAACAGGAGAAAGAGGGGCCAGCCACAGTCATCGTCACACACTGGCAGAACGGGAGAGGGAGGGTCAGCCACTGTCATTATCACACACTGGCAGAACAGGAGAAAGAGGGCCAGCCACAGTCATCGTCACACACTGGCAGAACAGGAGAAAGAGGGCCAGTCACAGTCATCGTCACACACTGGCAGAGTAGGAGAGGCGGGATCAGCTACCGACAGGATCATACGCTGCCGGAGCAGGGATGAGGATCGGCCACCATTAGAATCACGAGCTGCCGGAGCAGGGAGGAGGGTCAGCCGTCGTCAGGATCCCATGCTGCTCAGGACAGGATTCCATGCGGCTCAGGCACGATCCTACGCGGGCCGCCGGTCGCCGGTGGATCGGGCAGAGCCGATCGGGCCCTGACCGATATTTGCCGACCACGGGCGGTTCCAGACCGTTACCTGTGCGGTACGCGCACCGCACAGCTGGGACGGACTGAGCCGCCGGCTCGGTGACTTAAGCTCGCGATGGCGACTGGCGCTGACCGACCGACAAATGGTTCGCGGCAGCTCCCAGCAAGACAACGCAACTGCACAGTAGAAGGCAACCTGCTTTGCACTGTATTGATAAAAGTGTAACATGCTCTGGAACCAAGGCAGCGGCAGGCAGGACTGTACAGTACCGATGGTATTGGACAAGCTCCGGTACGTGCCGTCTGGACTCTAACCGGTACGGCGATGGTTCTCAGCATAGTTTGGAACACAATGAGCTTTTGTTGGATAAGTGGGGCGCACGCGACTGGAGGCTTGTGGTAAAACGGAGGCAGTGCTTTAATGAAACTTGCATGAAAGACTTTGGCAGCTTCCTGTCGGTTTTTGTCAAGTCATTGCTTTTAAGGGCTAAGCAAACCACTCTGGAAAAATAAGCATGAATGGGAGTTTTCAAGGCGTTTACACGAGGGTGTTTGTTAGATGCCGCAAAATGTGTGTTATGCGGATTTAAAGCAAAAAATCGCACATGTGCTTGCCTCAGACTTAGGTTCAGGTGACGTTGCGAACAGCTTATGCCCGATGTTTTCAGACAGCGGTGCAAGCACCAGAGTGATGCAAAATGAGGGAGAGGATTGCTTTCGTTAAATGCAACAAGCATGGATATAATTGTCCGTGTTTAGTTTTGATGCTGAAAATCGTGAGGCGGAGATATCGGGTAAGCGTTAGCATGTTTCATCATAATTCTCGATTTGCTATTAATAGTTTTTGTGTATGTGTTTTCTGCTGGCGATAACATGGCGTTTTCCTGACTACCTATTTTGTATTCTTACGCCAAGCTTCGTAAAATAGCTATGTCTTGTTGATTCGATGCTTTCGGAACATAAATACTTAACTCATATCAGTGACCAGATGTATTGCAAGACAAACACACTTATACTTATAGATTAATGACCATCTTTAAACCAACATTTTTAGAAAACTAAGAAATGGCAGAACGCAGGTACCCAGATCATCGATCACAAAATTGTTCCACCCAGACTGGTCTAACCGAACCAAAGGCGTTTTCACCTGCCACTCAGTACCTGTGCGTTGCAGAGTTGGCACAATTTGTAGATCCTGAAAACCCAGTGCACCCCTGCGGCCCAAATTCGTAACGCACGCAAATACTTTTCTAAAGCGTAATATATACGTAAATATCCGGTAATAGAAAAGAGGTAGAAAGAAAGTCGCATTCATTAGCAGACATATACACGGGTTATCCGAACCAGAACTTTACTGTATGAGGTGATATGATCTTGGCATGAACACAAGGCTGCGCTTCGAGATGCAGCCTATTATTGCCTCCTAAAATATCTCCTGAAGCGTGAAGTAGGAACAAACTTAGGTAAGTAACCAGTCATTCCTAATGTGAGAAGCGGGTATAACCTGATGCCTGAGTGAGATACAATCAACGTCGCCCACGAGCTGCGGGTCTTCTCTTTGCAGCGTTTCCCTTTTAAAACGCGCGCTCAGCTGGGGTAAATGGGCTCGGAAGGTTTTTTCCAAAGTAACTTCCGAACAGCGCGGCACAGCCTTCCCAAACTCTGTAAAGCGATAGGCAATGGAATAGTCCATCTCTCGGTATGCAAGTTTTATGTATCTTGTAAGGTCACTGACCTATGACAGGTCAAAGACAGGTCAAGGCTGTCGCTGAAAGCAATTCCTAGTGAATCGTTCAACATGATGCGACAACGTAGTATCAGACGAAATCATATGACTTTGATGTTGTTTTTTTGCGATACAGTTATTGAAATTTACGTTGCGACCAATTTCAATCACCTCAGTTCAGGAATGAAGGTCAGATCGAGGTCAAAACCAAACTGCGTTATTTCTGGACGGCTTGAAGTTCTACGGCAGTTTTTGGCACCCATTTGTTCTTCCTGGACCACGAAGACGTCAACAAGTTTTCCATTTTAGTGTCATTAAGGGAGGGAAGGTCACTGGTCTAAATGGACCTCGATTTACCTTTTGCTCTCAGGAGCATGTCTCCTAGGGTAGCACTTTACGCTAATTGTAGAATTGAATACCAAAATAACCCCGAAGGTTTCTGGTCATTTCGATTTTCTAATAATGACATAAGGGCACTGACATCATAAAACCACTATTAACATAATGCTGATAACAGGTACTATATGGAGCACGTATTTAGATTACAGCTGGTTGCGTGAGCAGATCTGAGGGCACCTCCGACACTTATCCGTAGTTTGACCTTGTTTGACCTTATTTGTTAAAAAGATCCCGATCTAGGGACCTTAAACTTTGACAAAAGTGAGATCACACGGAGCCTTATACACATTTAGCCCCACGTCACCCCTACCCCTGCTTCTAATTACCTCTGCCTCTAGTGTCCTTAGCTCTCTTAGAGCCTGAGATCTTAGCAGCATCGCATCGCAAATTCTTTAAAAGCAGAGTACGCACATTTAGGTTACCAATGCCAGCTGAAAAATCCTACGTTAGCTGAGGCACGTTACGTTACACATTCAGGAAGGAAGATGATTGGTTGAGGGTAACCGTAGCGCAACAAGGGGATGGAGTTTTGGACAGCATAACGGTACGTACGAGCGGGGTTGCAGGTCTAGAAGCGATCTTAAAAAAGCTGTTCTGGCAGCGTTTCCAGGGGAAGGAGGAAGTAACCAAATCATAACCAGATGGAGGGGATAGAGAAATGAGCAAAACGTGCAGCGTTATTTATGGACGTCGCTTGGTCGTCCACCGTCTTTGTTCCAATGCTGGGGTTAGTGACCGTCCTACCAGAGGTCAAGCTTGAGGCCACGTGTCACCACCACCCTGTCAGCCGTCACTCGCAGAGCCACGGCAGCACACTCGCCGGCTGCAGATCCATCCCGGCGAGCCCTGGTCTGCGCACTCACCGCGGCCATGGTGCGGACACTGATCAGCGGTCCGGGCCGGCGGCGCGGCGGCCGGCCCTCCGAGGGGAGAGCGCAGAGCGCGCCGGCAGAGCGGCACCGGTCGGGGCTGAGGGCGGCGAACCGGTCCGACAATAGACCGCGCTCAGCGGCGCCGGCGCGACCTCGCCAGACTCTCACGGGATGGCCGGCGATGGCCACGCAAAAAACGGCCGGCCGACCGGCCGCGGCGCCTCCAACGGGCCGACCGGGTCCGTTGCGGACCTGCGGTGTGGCCCGAAGAGGGGCCTCGGACCCACTGCCGGCCCGAGCTGCCGATACAGGCTTGTTTTTGCATTCCTCAGGTGACCATAGCAGAAAGGTCACTGGTTGAGCTGGGGGGGGGGGGGGGGGGGGGCGGAAGTCAAACCAGATCGATAAAGCATATAGGCTCATCAACCTGACTGACTGACTAACACACATATGTGTCAATGACCTCACCCGTGTCTAACAAGCCAGCTGCCCGTAATGACCCTGGCTAGCCTGGGAGTGGTTATAGGAAGCAGAACACACTCGCCGCGAGAACGATGTTGAGAATTAAGTTTTACCATGTAAAGTTACGGTCCACAGTAACACGACCTGGGCTAAACACTTTCCTGGCTCCTATCTTGATAAAAACTAGCCCGTGTGCACAGTCGACACAGAGAATACATTCGTCTGATGTTCTGAGTAGAGCAGATGTGCGTTGTGGTTTTCATGGAGTCCTAGCGCATTAGCTCGTTCGATATCGTTCTAATCCGAGTGAAAGCTGCATTACCTTCGATGGCCTGCTGTCAAAGCATCGTGTGGCAATGATCTCAGTCATAATGTTAGACGTGTCTAAGTCGTTATATCTGGACTGAGCCAGTGAATCATCTCCTACATACTATTTCGTTCTGTGATCTTGTAACATCAAATTGTGCGATCCAATTTGACAAATTTACGACATGAATGTCAATGTTACACTTCAGAAGAGATTCCCCCACTGACGATGAGGCAAACAGAAGCAAAACTGAAGATAAGAACAACACCAAGTTGGCTGGTGAGAATACATTCTAGGCCAAACAAATCCAGTATAAAAAAATTAGCCGTGCTAGAGCTGAGCGGAAAGCGGAGTCGGTTAGCTATCTCACAGTACCTGGAGATTAGTGTCATTAAACGCCCTGTCTTCTTTTGGTCAGTGAGGAGAAATGCATTTAAACGTGAGCTCCTAACCACCTCGGGGCCCCTCCCACCCCGCTGCCTTCCGCCGCGCGGGTTGTCGCTGCTCCCACCCCGCTGCCTTCCGCCGCGCGGGTTGTCGCTCCTCCCACCCCGCTGCCTTCCGCCGCGCGGGTTGTCGCTCCTCCCACCCCGCTGCCTTCCGCCGCGCGGGTTGTCGCTGCAAGTTCTTCAGTCCCGTGAACGCGGGTTCGTGCACGATCTGCAGTTTTAAATCGGATTCATTTTCAGAATGTTATGCCGTTGAGCCATTCGGTCGTGTCGAACAAGAGCAAGGTGCGTCTTGGGCCAAATATGTTGGACACATTTTAAATGGCGACTATAACGTCGCGTGGTCGGTTTTGACCATCCCACGAGCACATATTCCTGCCAGTCAGAGTGCGAGGATGTCCTGTGGTGCCGTGAACATGCATCTGAAATAAAAGCCTCCTCTATCAAGCGATTTGTCTGTCCCAGGCAATTACTCCGGGGCGCCTGGCAGCGGAGTAACACACCGTGGACACGCACTCTCATTGTCCAAGCAACAAACAAGACAGGACGGCCATGATCGGATAGAAGACCGCTGCCACGCGCCGATACTTTTATCGCCGCCAGTACAGCTGCTCCCCGGAGAAACTGCCGCCGACCGGTGACGTCACGAGAGTTTGGCGGATGGAAGGACGCGGGGAAGCATCATGATACCCCCCGCTGCACTTAACAGCTTGCCCAGAAATCAGCAGCTCCTCAAGCCCTTGTGTTTAAGCCATCTATTAGCAGACGCCAAGGCCGTATGAGAGAGTTAGAACCTTCCGGTGACTCTCGCTTCATCTTTGCTTAATACTAACGTGACGTCACTGGTGGCGAGACTAATGCGCGGCGCGATGCTCGGCGTCGAGTGACATGCTTAGGACCAGCCGGAACATCGAAATATTCGCACAAATGAAAAAGCCGGTGGCGAAAGGTGTACGTGACCAGCGAGCCGAGTACTTATAGGTGTATATCACCAGCGAGCCGATTACGTATAATTCTATGATGAGCACGATGATCTGCTTTGCAAGCCTATGCGAAACAACCATTAAAATGCAATGGTCTGAGAAGTCAAGACGTATACGCGGGGCTTAATCGCAATAGAGGGGAAGGAGCCAGAGGTGAAAACAGCTTCTGATTTATTGGTTATGATCTGTGACGAAAGCGGAAGTTTTGCGAGCCAATTGGTGACAAAATTGCGAAAATGGCAGCAAATTACGGCAGACCAAAGCATTCTACAGCAGAGCACCCCAACTAGACGAAACTGAACGCTCAATATTGGTATGTATTCATTAATGCTTGCAGCGTGAGCATGTGTAGCGCACATGTCAGAAAGTTGACGTCTCGCTGCATGAGCAAGTCAAACCACACGATGTTGCCGAACATAGCAGCTTTGATTAGCATAGTTTTTAGCAGATGGCGGAAACGTGCTACAAACCATAGAATATCAGTGCTGGTGTCATAGCTCAGTGGTGGCACAGTGCTGGCGTCACAGACTAGTGGTGGCACCGTGCTGGCGTCACAGACCAGTGGTGGCACAGTGCTGGCGTCACAGATCAGTGGTGGCACAGTGCTGGCGTCACAGATCAGTGGTAGCACAGTGCCTTTCAACGTCTCTCAGGTCTGTGCTTTTCACAGATTCCAGTACTTTTCATACTTTTCATAGCCAAAATTCACTTCACATAATAAACAGTATACAAATTAAATAACTAAGCTTTGTACTGGTCGTTGAAATCATGGTTGGCCACGGCATCTTGTGACGAATGTGATTAGTTTGCGGAGCTTCAAATCGTCGCGCCATTTGAGAGAGATGGGCTCGAAAGCACACCACGCGGTAATGAATTGGGTTCCGTGCAAGGCAGCGGGGTGGCATTGGTTGCGTTCATGTCGTGAGAGGCTGACTGGCTTGAAAAAAAGGTAGCCAAACGTAGCCCAAAAAATCGTCGTTTTTAAGGTGCGGTACGGTTTTTTATGATCCACCATGAGGGGCTAATCTACACTGGTAGTAGCGTTAAGAAGTCGCGCCAATTTAAAAGTTTTTTGTGGATAACCGAACTGTAGCTTTGGAGTTCAACGGCAGACGTTGGAGCGACGGATGTCAATGATTCATCCGAGGCTTTCTGCTGCAAAGAGAAACAGTAGCTTTGAGGTAAGATGCCGGGCGTCGCTGGGGCAGGTCTCTCACACTGTCCGTCGCACCTTACACTTAGCGTACTGACAAGTCGGCAGACGTGATATTAAACACTCTTCATTGTTATGATAGTGTATATAGAGCTAAATGAGGAAGCCAGAGGCGTTCAAAAATGTCGTTTGCATGTGTTGATACCAAAATTGCATGGTGTCAACTGATTAATTGGGTTCATGATAGGCAGTGGAGTTCCGCACCGGTAATGATCATGCACAAGATAGTGAAGGCTGCCAACGATTCTAGCTGATTGTGCGATGATGTCACAAGCCCAAGTAAGATTGTCTTCAGGTGCTTGTAGAATCGTGATATCGATAAATGCAAAGGTTCAAGGATACAACGTTACAAAATAGGCATGGGTGAGGGACGGCTGAATGTGATACAGGAAGAAAAAAAGCTGAGACTGACTCTAAAATGCACTTACAGTTCTCTCCCAGATTTACCGCACTTTCTTTTCAGATTTGGGGACAGGGCATCTCAGGTACTCAAAATTAGGTTTTGGGAGCTGAAACTAAAAAATTATTTGTAATTAAAAATATTAGATAAAAGTGATCGATGAATATATAGGAAACCACATCCCTGGTTAGGAGGCACAGTCAACCCCCCCCCCCCCCCCCTTTACTGAATGGGAACTACATGCGTCTAGGCTGGTTGTGTTAAGTATAACTTTATCTGATAGTTGTATTGGTTTAGCCTTAACCCTCAGTTACTGTTTGATAGGCAGCAAATGATACTTTAACACGCGCCCGGGTGGCCGGCTAGATACCCTCCGCTCGGGTGGGGGGGGGGGTCAATTTGACCCCCTGATGCCTCCAGAACTAAAAAAAGCTAGAGATACCAAATTTACAGGCTGCGTTAACCTGTACTTGAAATCACTTAGGTTAAAGTTAAAGGTTCCTAGGTTATGACCTTCGGGTCAAAAAGGTCAAACGAGATCAAGTTCCAGGTTGATGTCCAAAGTGCCCCCAGAACCTAGATAATCGTTTCTAAGCAAAATCCCACGAGCTCATTCAAGATCAGTGACCTTGTTTGACCTTTTGAAGTTCAAGGTGACCAAAATCATGCAAGATTGCCTCGAGTTCTGCATTTGACTAAGCGACAAAGATTGAGCTAGGCAGTATGTTTCCTAAACAAAATGCTGACCTGGGTTATTTTAGGTCAATGACCTATTCCGACCACTAAAAAGTCCATGGAAGATGTATAATGCGGTTCCTGATGTCAATAAATTTGCAATGAGCACCAAAAACTATCCCATACAGCAAGCCAAAGAGTAGCAAAACAGGTTGGTTTTGATTTTGGCGTGACTTTTGTACCTGACCTTAGGTCAATGTAATTGGCCCATTCAACCGTTTTGTTGCCTAAGAAAGCATCTCAGAGATGTATGGCCTCGTCTAACGCTGTGTTGTTGTATCAGATTGAACGATTCCTAGAAACTGCCTTCGCTGAGACCATGGCCTGACTTTGACCTGCCATAGGTCAGTGACCTTACAAGGTACACCTAAATTTTTTATGTCAAACGACCCACTATTCAATTGTCTGCAGCTACTCCAAATTTAGCGCGGCTACACCGCACTGTTCGGAAACCATTCTAGAAAAACCTTCGGGGGTGGATCAATTTGACCCCTCCCCACCCGAGCGCGTGTTAATGCAAATTAAC